AAAAAAAACTCAATAAATTTTTTTTTTTTCATAAATTTTTTTTCGCAATTATTAATTATTTATAAAAGCGGAATAAAGTCTATTTTTAATAAAACTGCGTGTCGCCCGATTTCTTTTACCCAAATATATAAAATTATATTTGTAGTGTGGATGTGATCTCCGGATTTATGAAACATATGGTGATGTAGGAATTTACAATACAAAAAATACAAAATATTTTCAAGTTTTGTTTGGCTTGCATTGAAAATATGTACATACATTTAAACATTTTATTTATGTGATCGATTGCGATTTATGAATAAATTTAAATATTCCATTTAAATCAAACGAATCTATGTACATACTTATTGGTTAATTATAAAAAAATTCCATTTCCGTTTATAATATTGTTGGTAGTTAATCATTCAACGTGAGTTAATTTAATAATTTTTAAATATATTTAATGTAACGAATTTAATTATTCATACATGTCTAGAAGATGCTAAAACTTCAAACTTCTAAAGGCTAGGGAAAGAATTATAAGATCACGGTTATTTTATTATTGTACGTTTATCAATATTGTTTCGCATTAAAATAAGTAAGCTGGTATTTTTTCGCTTTTATAGAATTTATATTTCCTATAGGAAGGTTGTGGTTTCGTCAACGTGAAAATAATTCTCGAAAATAGCATTTACAACTTCTAGGAGCACAACTTTCAGAGAAAGGAGATTAGTAAAAATTTTCTTTTCGTGAAATAAATTTCTCAGGTCAAGATCAATTTGTGAGAAAATTTTAGCTTTTTATAATAAAGACAGGAAATTTAATGAACACACGCATGGATAGAACGGACAAAGTGAAAGTAACAAGCAAAATTATTTGCAATTCAGTTGGAAATATGATTAAAATCAGAAAAATATTTTTGATACGCTCTTAAATAAAATCTTCTTTTCTATTCGTAGTACCCATGTGCTGCAACTAATTTATACTATTAAAATAGTATTCTCCGAATTATAAGTAACTAATACTAGAGTTTCCCAGACCAACTATATAGAAAATACATATTTGTTTAATACTAGTTATTGTTTATTTTTTTGTTAGTAAATTTATGGAACAACAAAAATGTAAAGAAAAACTGAACCCTCTCTTGTATCAAAAATAAAGTAGTGGATTCCGTTTTTATACGTCATTTTATTGTAGGAATAAATAAACTTGGAAACTACTTTAACCAAAAATTAAGAAAAAACAAGTAAAAACGGTTCAGTCGGTCTAAACCGATTGAATTATACCCTGCACCTTTCGTTTTTGTGTAGCAATTACTCGAAGCTCTGAAATCATTCTATAGAAACTTCTCAGACATGTCTGACCTATAATTGGACATCCGACTGCCAAGTTTCATGAATCTGACCTTATAATTTTTCCAAATATTTAAAATTAGCTTTTGGAGTTGTATGGTAAGTACCTGAACCTGCCAAGCAATTCCATCAAAACTTCACAAATATATCTGATCTATAATCGGACACACAACTGCCAAGTTTCATGTATCTGACTTTATTATTTTTCCAAATATGTAAAATAAGCTTTTGGAGTTGTATGGCAAGTACCTGAACCTGTCAAGCAATTCCACCAAAACTTCAGAAATATATTTGAGCCATAATTGGACACATGACTGCCAAGTTTCATGAATCTGACTTTATTATTTTTCCAAATATTTAAAATTAGCTTCTGGAGTTGTATGGCAGGCACCCGAACCTGCCAAGCAATTCCACTAAAACTTCACAAATATATCTGATCTATAACCGGACACACAACTGCCAAGTTTTATGAATCTGACTTTATTATTTTGCCGAATATAAAAAATTTGCTATTGGAGTTGTATGGCAGCCACCCGAACCGGTGCAGCTATCCCATTATAATTTTTAGAGCATGTGTAGAATATAATTGGACACATGTATACAAAATTTTATATTTATAGCTTTATTAGTTTTTGAAATATTTAAAATAAACTCTTGGAGTTGTATGGCAGCTACCCGAACCCGTTGTCCGACTTAGTTCAATAACAATAGGGTTCGTCCTTGGCACAAAAGAAAAAACTTGTGAAAGTTTGGTGTCGATTGCATTATTCGTTTTTGAGTTATCGTGCGATCGGACGGACGGACGGACGGACGGACGGACATGTCTAAATCGACGCAGAATTTTACGCTGAGCAAGAATATATATATATGTCCATACCGCAGATGACTCCTTCAAGTAGTTACAAACTCCATACCAAAGTTAATATACCCTTCACGAAGTGCAGGGTATAAAAAAACGAAAAATATACAATCATAAAAAATTTGCTAGTTCAGTTCGGAAAAAAAAATTTTTTTTTTTGCTCATTTCAAATTCTCATTATTTATGGAAATCCGAATTTATGAATGCATATACGTACGTACATATATATTTGATATCAATATTATAATTTATAAATAACATTGGAATTCTGAATTTTAAATATATTTAATATTAAAATATTTCCAATAAATTAGTATATATAATGTACATATACAATTAAATTCACACAATACACAAATACTTTAAATTGGTAAATATGGAAATAATTTAAAGCATTTTGAACACATGTACATATATATTATGTATGTATACACCTAGTATAATAATATCAAAAATTTGACAAATTTGTTTTGAATATAAAACGTGGGTGACTTTAAGTAGAGAAAATAACTTTTTTTATTACCGGGATTACTATAAATAAATAAAAAATATTGAAAATTATATTTTGAGAGAAAATTGGATATTAAGTTAAATGAAAAAATTGATTTTTCTTATTCTTGAAAGTTTAATTTATTTTACAAATTTTATTATTATTGAAGTATCATTAAGGAAATTTATGACTTAGAAATAATAATTTAAAATAACTAATTAACAAAGAATATATGGAGAGAAATAACACATTAAAACAAAAGATATGGTTATTTTCATAAAATTTTACATAATATATAGGAACATTTAATCAGATGGGCCACCAAGAAGGTTCTTTCGAATTAAGTAGAAAGCGAGTACTGAATTTATGAAGTACTTATGCGAATTACGCTTCTTAATTTTTAATCAACTGTTAATGCTAATGTACATACTCTTGAAATATGACCTGTTCTGCTAAATATTGCAAACTAAATTTCTAAATTAATATGTATGTATATATTGCACACCTGTGTACATACGTTACTAGTTACTGAAAACGTGATAGTTTCTATACTTACTCTCAAAAAGCTTCTTTCAGCATAATTTTGTATTGATGCCATTTTATATTGATTCAGTTATAATTCAGTCTTAATTTTGTACTTGCCGAATTAATAATTTTCAAGTTTCTGTTCTTAATTGCTTGATTTTTATACCGGATATTAAATTATATATGGTCATCAGTCTATTTTACTATTTTAATTAAATATTTATTGGGTTGTATTTGATTTGTCTGTTGTCACTTTTTAATACAATTGATATTTTGCGATTCAATCATCTTAAAACTTCATGACGAATAAGTTTATTACCTAAAAGTATAAAATATAATTTATTTCTAATTCATAATATCAAAGCTATTTAATAAAAAATTCAATGGATCCTACAATTTAAAAATTTGAATTTGATATTTATTTATATAGGGAATTTAAAATATTTATGTATTACTTATATAAATTTAAATAAAAAATAAATCCTCCACCTATTCTTACAATGTATTTAAAAAAAAATTGAATTTTAGGGTTTTAAAACACACCCAAAACTTGTTCAATATTAAATAAGTTTATATAGAATTACAAAATCGTGATTTTGTCCCGCCATAAATTTGATTTACTTATAAAATTCTTAGAATTGAAGAATTTAATTAATTACTATGTATAAAGTTTATGTATTCGACTCTAAGATGATCTTAATTTAAAATTTTAATTTAGAATTTAATAAATTCATATTACACGGAAATAAACTAATTAATTAAATTGAAAATTTTTATTGAAAAATTTATGTACGCGTGTCAGAAAAAGTCATATTATGTTCTTCTCAACAATTTGATTGTTAAGTATATATACTTACGAGTATACATATACATACCTTTATTGGTAGAGCAATAAGATCCGACTATCGGTCATACTCGTATAACAAAAACTGCAATAGACAATTCATAGTCATCGATTTTATATAATTATGAAGTATATTAGAATTCAATCACGAATGAAATTATAGTAGAATTATTTGAAATTTTTTAGAAATAATTATTTGGTTCCGTTTTAAATTACAAAGTTGTTTTTATGAAGTGTCCAATTATTTTGATACTTATTTTTGTTAATTTAAAAAAATAATAATTACGAATTTTTGAAATTCGTCTCATGACGTCATTTTTTATTACTCGTTCGACAAATTCTAAAATATTGATACTTATTAATTAAAGGCAAAGTAAACAATAATAATAATTGTTTTCAATTACATAAGCCAGACCAACAATTCTTAAGATAACTCCAATTTAGACCAGAAAAAATTCGTTTTCATTTCAAAAAGCAGTCAGTAAAAAGGCTTTTATCACTTCCGACTCAAACAATTGAATTGAAATTAAGCTGTGTTTAGAACCAAATTGTCAGTTATATTTAAATAAACAAGCATAGCTCATATATTCCGGCCAAAATGTAACATAACCTTAAAATTCTTGCTCAATTGTATTTATTTCAACATTTGAAAATGTCAACGATTACAAGAGTACAAGTTATTACGCTAACTGGGAAGAATATTTTTTTTTACTATAAATAAATAAAGTTTACAAAATAAAGTTTTGGAGTACTAGATCAAATAAAATAATTTAATTTTATATTTGATAAGAAAAACTTTCAAATTCATTTCAATTTTTAAATTTGACGTGATTTTAATAAAAATTTTTTTAATTTCTCTTCAATTTTTTTTTGAATTTCTTTTAAAAATTACTAGTGTGAAAATGAAAATTTTTTAAGAAAAAGTTTATGTAAATTAAAATTAAATTTAAATTATATTGAAAAATAAAATTATAATAATTATTCAAAAGAAAATTTGCTTGTAGTTTTACCGTTTCACAAAATTAAAATTAAATATAATCAAAATTAAGATACATAGAAATATTTAAAAAAAATTTTTTAATATTGAATATGAGTGTCTTAAGTTCACCCCTTAAGGGGTTAAATTGGATTAACCTACTGAAAGCTGGATTCATTTTTTTTGGATTAATTATATTAATATCGAGTGTAAATTCATATGGTAAGTAATGTATATTTTTATTTTAAATACATAAGTAGTAAATAAGTTTAATAAAATATGTTTTTTAGAGAATTATTTAAAATGAAATGCGATTGGGGTATGAAATTTTATTCGAAACTTACACATTACTCTCAAAATCATATATTTATTCTAAATTTAATGTACTTATCTAATAGTATTTGGAGTATAATATTGCATTTCGTTCTAAGAATCGAATCACTGCGAGTATTGTGACGAGTATCGTGAGAATTTTTAACATTTTGTAATAGAAACAAATTATTTGTATTAATTGCTTTATGTTGAATTGACTTTAGGCCAATCGTAATTTGCACGCTTTAAAATTTGAACAACTTTAGAAATTCAAATCGTTAGAATCGTCAAAAGAAGGCGTTTATAATAAGTTCAAAATTATTTATAACTATTTTAGATACTTGCCATACCAATGTAAACCCAAATTTGAATGATGTATTCAGAAACAAAAATTTATGCAAGTTTTTTCCAAGTTTTCCTGTAGGCAAATGTTTCAAATGAGGGAAACCGAATGGGGGCAGTTTTTTTAGAGAAGCTGTCTCAAGTATCTTAGAGTTCCTGTAACTGGAAAAAGCTCAAGAGTAAAAAAAATTTCTAACAATTTTTTGCCTACTCACATCAATCCCATCACTTTCGTTCAAGAATATTAATGAGTTTCCCACACCTTACTTTTTTCGAAAAAAAAAATTAATGGATGTTTTGAATTTCAAATAATAAATTTATTCAAATTCTTCATAACAATTTGAAAGAAATTTTACCCGTAAATATTTTAATTTCTAGAAACATCAGTGTTCTCGTGCGGTCATAAAATCATATTTTTTGTTCCGAATCGCAGTTATCATTTCCTAAAACTGTAAATTTTTTTTATTTTGATTCTTTCAATTTTAATTGGTTTTTAATTTCTTTCTTAATTTTAATGAAGTTGTTGGACTTGTTTTTTGTAAAGTTTTTTTTCATCTCTATTCCCCCATTATTTTGTTACTGGCCATAAAAATCTATAATAATCTATACTTCTTGAAAAATTTACAGTAATTAAAATAATTAATAAGGGCATTTTAATGTCAAAGTTGCCCAAAACAGTGGGAGAAATTTTAAAATTAATAATTCTAGTTTCCCCAGAAATCAAGGAAAACCTGGTTTTTATTCGAATTATTAAATGATCACCATAATAGAGTCTCAATTTTTAATATTTTAGTTAAAAAATTCACAAATCAATGGCAAATATTACTTTTATCCCAAAAATTAAGTTTATAATTAAGAAGGAAATTGGGCGAATTTCTTAAAATTATTAAAAATTTTTAAAAACACAACAGAATTTCCTGCATTACTTACTCATTATTTAGAACTCAATTAATCAAACGCAAATTAATTAATTCTTCAGAAATTAGTGCTTGAAAATTGTTTAGCGGTCTTCCAATAACATACACTCAGTTACACGCTATCCTCCACTCCGTTATCAGATAAAATTATTTTTAACAATTTGATTTTGAATTAAAAAAAAATTTGCTTTTATTTTAACAGTTAAGTTACTTTGACCTTTACTTCAACCAAATATGTTAATCTAAAATTATATGGTTTCATTTAATGCAAAATAATAAAAAAAAACTTATGTATTTGAAATAACATTGAAATGGAAAATATTTTTTTAACAGACCAACTACGGTAATAGTATAATTGTATAAAATGAACTAAATATTCATATTTTTCTAAGTGTGTCATACTTACCACTACAAATGATATTGTATTTAAAAATTTTGTTGTCATTCACGGAAAATATCCTTGAATTATTGCTAAGCCTAAAATTATTTTCAAAATATAATTATCTACATAAGTATTTCATAAATATTTTTTTTATTATTTGCTTACCTTAGCTAAGTTATGATTGTTAAAATCATCGTTATATAAATGTATATAATTAAGTTTAGTGAATATTCAAGTACCTTACAATTACACAAATAATAATTATAAAAAATTAAGTATATGGAACGCGCGGTAACTTTATAAGATGTACGTTTATGGATTACTGAATAAGTAGGTTAAATGCATACAAAATTAAAAATGATAATGAATACGAATTTGATAAAGAAAAGAGCTAATGGCATTTCTTTTTATTATGATTAGATAATTTGCGTATTAGTTTTACTTTGTTCGTCTGTACGGCCATTAACCAAACCCTTAACGCTCTAAGACTAGAAATTTAAATTTTGTGCGCAGATAAATCTGAGCGAAGATATTATTTTTCTTGAGAAAAATTTTTGATATCTCGTTTTAAAAGTCTCGGAATACTTATCTTCCCCAAAGGGGTTTAAGTTTTCAAATTTGTGAAAATTAAAAATTTGCCAATAGAAGCGTGTAAGTTCTTTTACCGTAAATGTGTGAGAAGTTATTTTTTCTGTCACAAAAAAAATTTAGTCATTAATTTGAATTGGTTTTCTGCTTTTCCCATCCGAGTTAATATTATTCTCCTCTCAATTTTCAAAACCTCATTTACTGTTGATTCTATTGAATTGGCTACATAATTGACTACATTTCTCATTATAATCGACGGGAACTTTATTATCGGCGTCTATCAAATTATTTCTTCTCATTTTGCTATAAAAATCAGAATATGAAACACTATTCATGATTCAATCTTCAACACGATATTCCAGTGAAAATAAACTTAAGAATACAAAAGTAGCGAAATAACTATACTAATAAGATGATTTTTTCATTTCATATGTTAAGGATCATTAAACTGTTCTTATGGTCTTTTGAACTAATTTCCATTCAAGGTCATTCTTTTTATTCTTTGTTCATTTTTCAAAAAAAAAAAGCCGCACGTTTTTTCGATCATCTTCCATTTTCTTATATTTTTTTTTCGTTCTGTTTTTAATTTTAAGTTGAAAACGGAATTGAATTCCAAATGCCGAAGAAGAATAAAATTGTAAAGCAAAATGCATATACATAATTGTGTATACGAATGCATTTTTTTTGTAGGTACCATTAATTACACACTTCATTTCGATATGAAAATTTATGTAAACACAGTACAGTGTCTCTAATGTTGGTATTACAATATCGCTGTATGATTAATTTGGTGATTAGTATAATTAGTATAATTTGTTATATTTGTGTATCCATAATAGTGCGTCGCAATCATTCAAATTTCAGGCACCACATTCTGTAAATTCGCTTTTCGCCATGGAAATGCTATACGACGAAACGTCGTCAGATGTTCTTTAAGAATGATGTGAGTTGCTATATGAAGCTGTTAAAAAGGTTTTTATTGGTTTTTTTACAATACTACAAGAGTCCCAATAATAATGTGGCTTATTTTAATGAAACTCTTTTAACACTTCTTAATTTCGCAGTTCTAAACCTTGCCTTAGTCAATGAATTTTACAACTTTTTAATGCTAACTCAAATGAAGTGAAGCCTTTTTTACAACATGACGTACGAGTACATTTGAGAATATCTTTTCTTTTGGTGCTATAATTCTTCCTCGGAACATTTTTTGGAACTTAAGACCTGGAATGGAATGCCCTGTTTTTAAAAAAAACTTTTTTTGTTCAATAGCTTAAATGTGTTTTTAAAACAACTGCAATACAGTACTCGTAGGAAAGCTTGAAGACATTAACTCTTTTTAAAACATTAAGATATTTTGTGTTTCTGCTTTGCTTCCATAACGCAAGATCTTCATATCGCAATATCTTATCATTTAGTAACTTAATACTTATCTAAGAATTGAAACACACTGTGCACAAATGAATACAACCGTTAGTCGTTCATACAATCGCATCTCATATTTTTTTTCTCAATATTCCTACATTTGGAAGAAAAAAAAGCCACACCATCATTCCTACAAGGTAATTAACCACAATATGTAGGTTTCAACTCTTTTCTTCTTGTATTATATGCAAAACCGTACATATTTATTTATTTATAACCAATTGTAAAAATTTTTTTTTTGTATTTTGGAATCATTATTGTGTAAGGTTTTTTTTTCTTGCGTAAATTATTTAAAATATAGGTACGTGTATATAGTTATAAAAGTTTGTTATAAAAATGTAATTATGTTTTTAAATGCTGTAATATTTCGCGGCTTATTAAATTCAAATGCGGATCTCTTCTTTTTAAAATGATTAACATCATCATCATCTCCATCATCACCTTCATCAACATCATCACATTCGATACAAAAGTATTTTTGTTTTTAATTATTCTTAACCATAACTTAATACAGATGTATATAATGTGGTTTTTGAAAGAATTTTATTTAAAACAAAAACTTTGTTTTTTGAATAATTAATTTTAAATGAAAATGATATTTTCTATTCTAATAGACGGTATGGCAGTAACAAAAATTCTAAAATTAGATTTAGTTTTACATAAATTTTGGCAACAAAACAATATTTAGAAGCAAAAAGCAATGTGCTAAATTTTAACATTATAATACACTTAAGTTATCGCGCACAATATAGAATACAAATTGGTAATTTAAAGATTATGAATCATCTTATATACTTATATATGGTAAAAGTACAAAAGATTTAAAGATAACACAAAAAGTTGTTTCGGCAAGCTTTAAGAACCCTATGAATTAAATGCTATTAAAGCAGTGAATTGTTTTAAAACTTTTTTTAAAAAATTTTATTAATTTCTTCGGAATTGTTTAACATAAGAGTATTGTATAAACTATAACAATAAGTACTATCAAAACATATAAAAATAATTGTGGGGTGCAAGAAACTTTCATCAGATCTGCATTAGCTCAATGAAATATCTTTATAACGAGAACGTCGAACTTGTCTCAACTTACTTATTCATTCTTATTTTTACTTGTTATACTCTTATTTTTGTACAATTTAATTTTTAAAGTAAGTCGTACGAGTTGTTTTTCGAAATTTTAAGTTAGTCCAATAAATATTAGGACAAAGTTATAATTTTTGTTCCAATATTTATTTATTTTACGTCCAATGTGATGTGTG